ATAAAATATAAAAATCTGTGTAATATAAGCATTAATAAACTTACCTTTAATTTGTGAGAATATTTTTTAAATAAAGCTCTCGAATCTCCAGACGCAAAAAAATAAATAAATAAACACTTATACCAATGTTGCACGTTGTCGCATCGAGTTTATTGCTTGTTGTAACACGTTTACAATTGCACCAACTTCTACCGATTACTGCCAAATTGCAGTATTTTATTTAAAAAGTAAGTCTCTTCACTTTAATAGTCCTATTCCACATTAGTAGCCCTAATTCCACATTCCCTGCTTTTATCTTATCTCAAACGAGCAAATTTATATTAAAATTAGGATGACAAAGTGAGTTTATTTAAGAGAAAAATATGTAACAAAAATTAGAGAAAAAGCATATGTCAATTATCACACGAGTCCTGTAAATCTTCAAGTAAGTGCATTTATCATACGCGATTATTCTTTTTTACCGCCACTTTTGTCTAGATGACATCCGCCACATCCTTGCAATGCGCACCACGCGACTCGAAGATCACGATTCCCTCATCGTATGCGCGTGGACTCAGGTTTTATCTACATTAGAGAAGGAAAAAAAAAGTTGACGCGAGATTGTGTTTTCAATCGCAACAAAATTCACAGAATTAACGAAAAAGCAATGACGGATAAAAGGAAGAGACAGAGTGCGGCGACACTTGTACGTAGCAATGCATTACCGTGAGACATGGGTGTGGATCCTGAGAAACGTGATGCGATTACAACTACCCGTTTTATACCGTTTATCATAGAAGCATCCCCGCGACGGGATGGCGCCCCGACTGATAGAAGTAATCGACGCTCGGCGTCGGCGTCAGCATTGGCGTCGGCATTGGCGTCGGCGTTGACGTTGGTGTTGGCGTCTGCATTGGCGTCTGCGTCGGCGTTGATGTTGACGACATAATTGGCATCAGTGTTATTATCAGGAGTTGTTGTTTCTATCCACCTGTTCGCGAAGCGTTGATGCTCACGAGTCGTTTACTTTTCCTTATTAATTATATTGTGCGCATAAACGAGTGACATCATGAACCTTGATTAGTCAAACATCATTCTCTTAGAATATTTACTCGGGAAAAAAATTTTCGTATGTAATCATATATAAATAATTATATATAATTTTATATATTTATAAAAAGTGTGTGTGTGTGTGTGTGTGTGTGTTGTGTGTGTGCGCGCGCGCGTGCGTGCGTGTATGTGTGTGTGTGTGTGTGTTGTGTGTGTGCGCGCGCGCATGCGTGCGTGTATGTGTGTGTGTGTGTGTGTGTGTAAAATTAATTCATTTTATTACTAAAATTATTATTGATTAGCATCATATTCTAGAATACACAATATTATTTTATTTTTATCTGTTGGGTAAGAAGCAAGATTACCTAATCACATACGATTGTCAGATTTATATCTAATAGGTAAAATTTATCAAAAGATGAAACAACTGGCCCTTAGTCATTTCTTTGATGATATCGATTAGAAAATGTTCTCTTCTTTTGTATTGAACAAGTATATTCAAAATAGTGATATAACATTTAAATATCATGTATAGTTTTTATAAAATCTCTATCAAAATGATAAAATAATAACCTACATGCTCATATGCCGTGCCAGCACGATGTGTATGCGGCATATGCGCAAATATGATTCCCTAAACTATGCGTAGGGAATTATATTTTACACGCGATTTATAAGAGAAATGATGATTTTCTTTATGCATATATTTATGCGGCTGTACAAGTTGTGTAAATATATTCTAATTCCGCAAACATAATAGAATAGTAAAACCGGAAACATAATGAAAAGCACAGGCAATAGGAACAGGGAATAAGAGATTTTAACTTGTCAGAAAGTTCATTCTAATGTACATGGTTTCTGATAGGTTGAAATTTGTTAGGGAGCGTTTATATTGCCCGTAACTGTATACCGTATGTGATAATCTGTAAAGATATACCGACACAAACTTGCATAAACACATGCATAAAGAAAATTATCCAATCGCATTTTACGTGCGTCTTTATAAGAGAAATGCCATTGGTTAATTTTTTTTATGCATACGTAGATATATCCTTAAGCAAAGAGCACAGACTCTTGCATAACATAAAAAATTCAACTAATCAGAGTTCTTTATTTGATGAAAAGGAAGGAAACGAAGACTTTAATTGATTCAATTTCTTATGCATTAAGCCGGATTCTATATTAATTGCAAGCCGATCACAAATTTATTGCGACAACTAATATGAAGCATTGATTTCAAAATGCAAGCTTCATATTGGCTGTCACAACATACTTGCGATTAGCTTACAACTAAAGTAGAATCAGCTTTACGTGTTATGCGTTATGCAAAAATGTTATGTATTCTCCATTTTAATCCGAATCTATAATAGGTGGTTTTAGGCCAATATTACATGCATCCGTTTTATTATCGTACAACGAATTTTTCAAGCGTGTTAATTGGCTGCAAGATAGAAAGGAACTCAAACCCTTTGTCTATAGCCAATCAACAGGCTTGAAAAATTTATCGTACGACAAAAGTACGCATGTAATATTTGCTTTAAGCTTTAATGTCTGCTGCATCCTGAATACAATGAGTGACGAGCGATGTCCAATAAAAGCTGCTTTTTCTCAAGTGACAATGCAAAGTAAAGCTGTTATTGGACATCGCTCATCACGTCCAGTATGCAGTAGGCATAAGCCGTAAAAATTGACCAATTGCAATCGAATGAGAGGAAAATAATTGTCCATTCCTTATGGCTTAAAAATCTATTGTAGATCTAGGCAAATTTATACTGCAGTCATTATTACTTTGTAATAATTACATTACATGATAACATACAAAAGTATGATAAGTATAAATAGCAATTTTATATTACAATCACGAAAATAGTTCGCTCCGTATAACAATGATTTATAATGCATTTGATGTAACGGAAAGAGAACGCAATTAATCTTTTATAAATATTGGCCTAGTTTCCACCGAGGGTTTAATCCGAATCAGAATGTAAGAACCAACCAATATATAGTCGAGCATTCCCCTATTATAATCAAACGACAGGGGAATGCTCGACTGTAGTTGATTGGTTCTAGGCCATTGATGCAAGTTAAAGCTAGATATATTAATGGTATAGGCAGTGAATTTGTGTAATTAAAGCAGAACGTATACATTAAGTGGTATTGTCATGATAGTTCTTAACTTCTAAAGCCTCGTACTTTAACACTTGATAACTCAATTCACGAGGATTCACTTACCACCGTGTTTTCTTTTTTCCAAATTCTTTCATTTTTGAGTGAAAATACGTCGAGTGAGTACATTTTTATCAAGATTCTAGGTGGGATGTATTCTAAATAATTACCACAATATAGTTTTATGCAAACAGATTATGGCGGAAAAAGGTGCTCATTTGACTGGGACTGCATATATCAGGCCTTCTATCTTTGAGATTATTGCACAGGAATCGCTTGCATCGACTCTTGAACCGGCTTTTAAAAAAATTCTTTCGGTATACTGTCATTTAATGTGTTTCTCATAATGTCATGTTATAATATTGCTCTTTGAAGTATTAATTGATTGCATAATTTTTGCATAATTTTTCTTAAAATATACTTATCAAAATAATTTTTAGATGACTAGACATTTTTATTGTATCAAATGTATTATATATTAATAATATGATATTTATCTAGAAGATGGTCACTTTCAATGAAATTATGCTCATTCGATACATGTTTTTCAATGAAACGACAGAATCTAACAGTAAAATATGTTCAGTCCAGTGAAGCGAGATATTATTGTAGTTAATTATTATTAGGTTAGGTTAGGAAATTTGTCACATCGATGACGTAAGAAAGAATTACACAAATTCTGTTTTATAAACACAAATTCTCAACTTTAAAAAATCAAATTCTCTGTTTTAAAAACAAATTCTCTATTATAAAAACAAATAATATAGAACAAATTATATAGATTGTGTTTTTAAAGCAGAAAACTTGTATTTTTAAAACAGAAAATTTGTATTTATAAAACAAAGAATTTATGTAACCCTCTACGTCATCGATGACAGATTTCTTAATCTACAATAATTAAACGATTTAAAATAACTTTAACAATTAATATCTCGCTTTGAGAGACTGAGCACAACATTTTAATGCCAAATCGATTTTTTCGTTTTACGCAAAAACATGTTGAATGAACATAATTTCATAGAAATTGAAGGTGCGGAATATCTTCTGAATAATTACCCTAAAAATTTTTTTAAAAATATATTTCATACATAATTGCTTATAAAATAACAATCAATCAATCAATCAATTAATTAATATTACATTTAAAAAAATTGTTGATTATTTTACATATGTATGAATTACATATGTATGAATTATATTTAGTATTCTAAATATTATATTTAATATTCTAAAAATAAGCCTTTAATCTTAATAATTTTAGTTTCTTGTATCTTTCAATCTTGAGAAATATGGACATATTCTCCAATGGACAGATGAAGGGTATTTAATTTTTAACGTACTTCTTCAACGATATTACCTAAAGAGATATTGTAAGTATCTTATATAATCTAATATATGATATATTTTAGTATCTTCACATAATTTCTTGAAAAAAAATGTATCATTTTTAGTTGCATCATTTTCTGAAACATTTTATGGTTTGAAACGTGTCACAATAATTAATTCCAAGACAGGGTTACAAGAAAAATTATCACATAAGCAACAAATATTATCATTAATAATAATAGTGACATTTCCATATTTAAAGAATAAACTTGTGCAACTTAGTTCAAAGTATAAACTGCAAAACATAAACAATACATCAAGAAAGGCGAGTAAAAAAGATATAACCATCATTTTTAAATGCACACAGTATGTTCAAAAATACAAAAATTCTATAAAAATCAATGAATTAGATAGCAGTCCTTCATTTCAAGGAATCCATATAATTTCCTCTCTTCTCGATTTATGCAATAAAACGACAGTACAATGATTGGAAGATATTATAATACTCTTCTTCCGAGATTATCTTTAGCCGATTTACATTTTAATATCGTATCTCGAATCGTTGTTATCAAGAATTTCCTTTTTTATAAATATAATTTGATATTAAATTATACAAAAGTAAAAAAGAAATATTCAATCAATATCGGCTTACAGAATAAAAAAGTCTGTCGAGATTAGGTGAATATTACTATGACCTTTTTTTTGGCCAAAAACTGAGGCATCTGGCTATGCATGCAGGTGCGTTATCATGGAATTATTCTTTTAGGTCAAATTGTGAATTTAGTATTTTATTTAGAGGTTTTTAAATGATTTTTAGAAGGATTAGGACGCATTAGACACAATTGAAGCACTTCTGGAATTGATGTCTCCCGCACGACAATATGTCTGTGCCATAGCTAAGGTTGTCAATTTTTAATCAACGACAGAGTATATCATAGCAATTTACCCACTTTCCATATTCATATCTGACTCTGGCAGACTTTATTATCTTCTTTAAGGTAAAATTGCACTTAAAAGGAAAGTTTTTTTTTTTATAATATACTAGTGATCTAAGGCAATAAAATGTGTCTATTAAATGTCATTTTAGAAGAGGCATAATAGCTTTCAATCATTGTATCTACTGCTATTATATCAAGAAAATATGGAATTATATAAAAGCCTGATATGAATAAAAGCTAATATTTGAATTTGTTGATTTTTTAAGAATTTTTTTTGTTAATTTTTCAGACATGTTTTGTGTGTTGTACATTAATTTCTTAACATATTAAATATTTCTTGATACAGAAGAGGCAAAAATTTTTTAGTAAATATGTCATTAAAGGACTTTCAATTCTTTTTGTAACATATGAAACTCTTGTGTTATATAATTATATACTTTACGTATCTGAGAAATCCATATATCCATCACTCTTGTTAAGACTACTATCTGTTACACTGACATACGCCGATCCGCAATCTGCTCTCACTGTCACCGAGTTATTAAGGAAGATAAAATATAATTCATTCACTGTCTTTGATGGATGGAATATACTTCAAAGAATCATTACTGGATCTCTTGAACTCGGAGCTTTCTTCTTACAATTTCTTTCTTGGTGGAATCAGGAAAATTATGACATGGATATTATGAGTCTTCCAGCTCCACCACCACCAAAAGTAAAAATACATACAATGAATTAGCATAATAATTCAATTATATAATATCGATATAATTTAAATTACTAACAAAAACGAAATACAATCTTTTGTTTTAACAGGTGCCAAATGTAGCGCAGCAATATAAAGGAATTTGTCCACTCTGTCATAAACCTCATCATATACATACCGTGCTTATGGTATCTGGGTAAATAGATAATATTTTAGCACTCAATAAAAATTGTTTTTCTTATTTTATTTTTAAATAAAATACAAAATTAATTTTATGCCATTTTTTTAGTTATATATTTTGCTATCAATGTATTTTATCAGAAATACGGATAAAAAAGAAATGTCCAGTAACACATTATCCTGCCAAAGAAGATGATCTAATTCGTCTATATATAGAATAATAAATTATACATGCGTGTAATTTTTTATATATGTTGAATATAATATACACATGTAAATGTTACAGAAAAAAATAAGTGTTGTGAGAAAAAGTTGGACTTTATTCGTTTTATAAATGAATTACATATTTCAATTATTTGACATTATATCTTCAATTTAGTTGTGTTATATATATATATAT